CGGGGGGAGGAAGGAGAGCGTCATGGGCACCGGCGAGGGGTACGCCAGGGGGGTCGGGTACAGCTGGGAGGAGCTGCTGGCGCTAGAGGGGGAGCCATCCGAGGAGCCATCGGGCACAGAGGAAGGGTCAGAGGAGGGGGACGAGGGAGGCGCAGAGGGCTGGCTGGGGTGCTTGGAGGGGCTTGATGCTGTGGCCATGGCTCAGGGCGGGGAAGAGGAGGAGAAGCTTGGGGTCGGGAGGGGGGAGGGGGAGGAGGGAGGGTGGGCGAGCTTCCTGTGGGAGGAGGAGGAGCCGTGAGGATGCTTTGCGGATGGGCTTGGACGTGGACGGGTTTTCAGGAGAGATCTCGCAGCGGCAGGAGGGAGAAGGAGCGGCGAGCGGGGGGATGAATGTCGACGTGAGATTGGGGATGGGGGAGGGCTGTAGAGGAGGGGGAGGCTTCTGCAGGGAGGGATCTAGAGATCATCAGAATCCCAGAGGTGAACCATCCTCCTGAGGTGGGGCGACTGTGAGCAATGTTTCAATGAAACTGGATTGGTGCATTGATAGTATTATGAGTAAAGCCATCAGGACATGACATCGACTATGTTTCGCAACGCTTTCTGCAACGTCCATTTTCTCAAGCCACATCCGAGCCGTTTGTAGTCTTGCCGTCATTTCTTATTTGAAAGGTTTGCTTTGATACATTTCGTTTAGGTTCAAGCACTATTGTGACTCAAGATTCTGGAGTTCTTTTCTTCAATTTTCTGCTGGTCGATCGCTCGGGTTCTTGTACCTTACATACAATCATATTTGCTTTGATCGGCCTCTGTCCTCTCTATGGATCGTCTCAAAACCTGATCACCGTTAACCCACCGCTACCTCATCTGCAAAGACTTTCATTCATTCTCTGGATTATCTACCTTGATGCTCATCATCATGTGCTTGATGCTGTGACAGTCACTGCCTGAGTCTCGTTGCCATTTTGACATGGCCGTCGCTCCGATATCTTCAAACAAAATGAGTCGTGACTGAACGGATATCCCGACGTGCGATTAATCGAAAATCTCCACAGTTCCAAAAAAAACAAAAGCATGACGACGCCGCTTTCCAGTAGAAACTTCTACCGGAATCGGAGAACCCTGCTTGCCGAATCTTTTACTACTAAACCCGCCGCTTTACTTCTCGCCCTCGCCCGTGCTTGCCATTTGCTCCGGAAAATACAACTATTATTGCAGGAACCGGGCAACAAGTAAAGTGACAAAGTCATTCACCGTGATGTTTACTACTGAAGAGATCTTTCAGGCGGGTAATTCCGTTTCCCACGAAAGTGTAGAGAAGCAGATGGGTGACAATGATCTGGTATCCACTGGTATCCATGCTCAGAGCTCAGCCCCATCCCTTCGCTGCAGCCCCCTCCTTCCCCTCCAAGCCTCCCCGCCTCCCCTTCACTGCCTGCGACCAGTGCCGCCGATGCAAGACCCGCTGTGACGATCAAGCCCCCTGCTCTCGCTGCGTCCGCTCTGGCTTGGGAGCAGCCTGCTCCCGCCTGGCGGAGGATGACATGCTGGAGATCCCGCAGTACCTGGCCGAGTACCGGCTGAGCCGTAGGGCGACCAAGGCTTGTCTGAGCTGCCAGCTCAAGAAGGTCCGCTGCGGTGACTCTCGGCCCTGCGCTCGGTGCTACCGGATGGGGCTGACGTGCGACGACGAGCCGGGGCTGGGGCAGGAGGCGCTGCCTCTGATGCTGCAGCGGAAGCGAGAGCAAGTCGTGCAGGCATGCGAGCGATGCCGGAGGTCGCGGCTCAAGTGCGACTCGGTCAGGCCATACGGCGGTGCGTGAGGGCGGAGGAAGAGTGCGTGGACCGGCAGGTGAAGCGGCAACGGAGCGGGGGGAGGAAGGAGAGCGTCATGGGCACCGGCGAGGGGTACGCCAGGGG